TTTGCCTTTAATAAAAAAATTTGGCAAAACGTTTCGATGGGTTTCGATTTCGATGCCTGTCAAAACCTCCGGGTTTTTCCCGGCAACCTAAACAGTACAAGTTATTAAATTTTAATGATTTCGGTTATTTACTGTAATTAGAATTTTATTAGAAAAATGGCTCGCAAAGCCTAAAGTTAAAATGATCGTCAAAAAATCTCTAGGACTATATATAGTTTTGTTGACAGCGCACCCAGTTAAACAGGGTGTGCATTTATATAGAGTGCATTTATAGAGGGTTGACTGTAAAATTAATAAAGTTTTAATTTTTTTATTTTTTATTTTCATTTTCATTTTTTTTTTTATTCTTTTTTTATTCTATTTTATTTTTTTTAACGAAAAAGCGAAATAAAAATATAAAAAAAATAAAATAAAATAAAGTTCGCACGAATAAAGATCGTACGAAACGAAAATATAAAAAACAACGGAAATAAAAAATTTCTGCAGTTTTAATTTCTTTAAGTGAATTATTAACTCTAAATAATTTAGCCGCAATTGGAAGTGGGCTATAAATTAAATAATAAATAAATTTAAAAAAATAAAAACATTCGAAATTAAATCAAATTAAATGTTATTTTTTTTAATTTAGTTTTCATTAGACGCAGTTTTTTATTTTTACTTTAATAAATCACGTATTATAAAAATTCAAAATTCAAAATAAAAAATTGTCGCAATATTAAAAAAAATAATGAAACTTTACATTTTTTCGTCGCGATAACGACCTGGAGCATCAACCGGCCCCTGGCTGGCCATGACCATGAATCTAGTTCTTATTTGTTATAATTAATTGATTGCATTTTAATAGGGCTGAACTTGTGTTACATGAAATATCGTGAATTTAGACTAGTGATTCCCGTAGTAATAACGATAAAAATTTTTTCGAATGTAATTGGGTCTGAAGTACTATAACAGAAAAAACAAAATAAATTATGTTACCTTAACCATTCTAAAGCAAAATTCACAAATTCTACGATGAAATAAGTATATAAATTCGAACTCGAGTTCTAAAAATATTGTTGTACTCGAGTTCGAATATGTTCCAAACCAGAGCAATGATTAACATTTTTTTTTTCTGAATTGAATTTATGAAAATTCAAATAAATTAAATAGTACTCAAATTTGGAACGAAAAGTTCGGATATAAATTCATTAATTAATATTAGAAGTGTAGAATGAATTCGGAATGACTAAACAGTTTGCTTTGAAACAGAAAACGCCAAATGATTTCGTATAGATTAATTAGCATACATACAAAAATGTAAATTATTAATTATTGAAATATTTTAGAATATTTATTAAAAGAATTAAGCTAATTGGTTAATTTCAAAATTAATTACAACGTAATTCCAACCTTAAGCTTGAATTATTTTTTGTTTTTATTAAATAGATTAATTATTATTTCCATTTTTTTCATAAATCTTTTGAAAAAGTTAATTTTCATTCGCATATACTTGCTTAATTAATGATTCTTGGGGGGCTGAAATAAGTTACTTCATATAGCCTAGACCATAATATCCTTCACTCTCTCCTGACCGATTCATTAGATTAAAATAAAAAAGAATACGACAGTCCCTGCCTTAAAAAGCAATAACATTTCCCGCCATTCTATAATAATTTCTTTAAAATACACTAATTTTTGAATCTCTATTCTTATTAAAAAAAACCTTTGTTTACTGATAAGGTTCAAACCCTTGTAATTTTAAAATCAATTTACAACTATAGTGGTAAATTTTCATAGCGATGTGAATTATTCCATCGCAAAGTTTTAAATCGTATAAAGCTTTATTAATGCGAAGTAAAAAAATTAAAATTACTTTTTATCCGTTTCTTACAGAAATTTCTGAATAGAATATTAATAAATAAAAGCTTTCAAAAGTATTAATAAAAATTAGAAATCAAAGTTTTTCTAGATAAAAAGATTAAAAAGATTAAAAATGTACAATAGAAGTTTTTACAATAAAAGGTGAATATTTTTGAACTTTCCAAACATCATTTTCTATTTTAATTGAACCAAATATTCGTTCGAAACAGAAAGTTGGTCGGATGTTTCAGATGTTTTCAATGCGATAGAAACTGAGTAGTGGAAAGAATTAAAAAAGGAAAATTGGCTCATCTATAATTTCGAAATATTCTTCAGTCTGAACATTTGCAAAGTCTTTATCGTGCCAAAGGTGAACTACGTTTAGCCTCTCATGTAACGCACCACATTCATGCTCAAAACGTTTCGGGATTGATCCTGTTATCATTATTTCAATTACAGCAGTGGGGTGAGACTCATTTTTTTTTGATCATCAGATCACTATACTATTAACACGCCTTGCTTTTTTCATCGGCAATGGCTCAATGATATCAATACTTTGTCTCTTTCCTAATATATCTCTAGGTTACAGTGATGATGGTGATGGTGATGGCATCATCTTATTCCAAAAGACTGAACGATCTTAATGTCATCCTATAAAAAGCAAATTCATTTGAGAATCATTTCATGGTAAGAATATTAAACAAAAATTAGACTAGATGGCAGATGCAGGAAAATTCCACTAATAGATTTTAGTAAGTAGCATAATCGATCCTTATTCAAGGATTAATAGATCTTTCCCATCAAGACGAACTGTTTGAGTACAAGCACCTGGCAATGCCCTATCCGTCTAAATATTTCTCCCAATATACTTACTTTTTTATTATTAGGAGTTCCTGAGCAACACAACGAATGTGTGAATATATATTGTTTATGATATATAATGAATTGTAAAGAAATGATGTGTCTTCTTTTTTTCAACATTTAAATAACTGTTGCTAGAATGACCACTTTTCACAGGGAAGAACTCGAGGTATTTTTCGTATGAATATTTTTCAGTTTCTCGTTAATAAGCAATAGAGGTAGACATGATAAAAAATGGTGAAACACGTACATGATAAAAAAGGTTATATATTCATTATAGGGACTATTAAGTCGTGATATCATACTGTTCAGCCAAAGATAATGTCTCTTTGCGGGTCGATAAGTTCAGATAGTGTTTTTTTAAGGAATAAGACCATTTGGTGGGATCGATAAAATGAACTTTTCTTCCAAGAATCATGATCAATTGCGAACTTCGACAAAGGACAAGCCTCTTGACAGGATCGATAAAATCAGATAGACTTCTTCGTAGAACACGACATCTAAAGACTGGATTGTTTTTTTTCAAGGATCACGAACACTTGACAAAATTTTTTTTTCTAGAGTCACGACCTGATCGAATAGATTTCTTCCAAGATCACAACCATTTGCAACAGGATCGAGCTCAGTCATATTCTTCCATAGGTTTCTTCCAAGGTTTAAGAGAAAGAAAAAGTTCTCGTCATATACTTGGTAAAAAAGAGTTAAACAAATTAATGAAACCATCCGAGCTCATAAATCAACCTATGATGATAGTTTAGTGTACACATCACGTCGAGCTGGTAAAAAATTTTTGCACTTGCTTTTTCAATAAAATATTACGAAATACTAGACTCACATCTATTCTATTTGCCCTACATATATGATTCATAAAGATGCGCATTACCTTTTCCAACCATTATAAAATCGACAGCTTTTTGTCAAAGTCACTACGGTCAATTTCATTTCAACATTTCCCTAACGCAAGTTATCAATTACTGTGCATATCCTGAAGATGAGTTTCTTTCAATGGATTTAAATTAGCCATATTTTTGTTTTTCCAGCAGTTCTATTGAAAATGATTAATAATTAAACCCATTGTGAGTAACAGAAGCAAAATAACCGTCAACATGCACCAAGTCCTCAATCCAAGACGCACTAATACGATCAGTAATCTACGTAACCGAGACTCTTCAATCATTCAGAATGAATCTTTCTTAATAAAGTCCTATTACGAAAAATAATTACAAACATTTTAGTATTTCTACTAAATAAAGAGAGAG